AATAAACATTACCCCTATACCCCTAAGCATCAAGACACACACAACATATATCCCATATCTAGATCACCTAGAAGTTTCTCCCCATATGTCGAAGCTCCCCACCCACAATAAAACATAGAACCTCCCTTCTCTTATAAATCCCACTGGGAAATCTATTAGCAAGGGTAATAGAGCAAAATAAAATTTCCCCAGCAGCGGTTTGTTTTACCGACTTCTGTCTGTATGCAATGTATTGCCCCCCCCCCCTCAACCATTCTTTTTAAGTACACCTGAACCCAATATTTCAACTGTATCAAAGCTCTACTAGATATATGTCAGATTACTGTAAATGTATATTTTACCATAGCATATTTAAGTAGATATAGTTAATTTCAGTGTTTCTTTCAGACATTTTTCTCCGAGGGGGGGGGGGGGGGCGGCACTGGTTAAAAAATACATTTTGTGTATAAATTCCACTTCATTGGATTAGTTCGATGCCTGAAATAAACTCTAGTTCGTTTGTTTTTTATAAAGATGCTACGCTGTCAATTTTGAAATAAATGAAAAGTGAACTATATATATATATATATATATATATATATATATATATATATATATATATATATATATATATATATATATATATATATATATATATATATATATTGAAATTCCGCCCCATTCGCCGACTGTAGATCGACCACTGAAAGGTTAGAATTTCAATTTGTGATCGCAGATGGTATCAAACAGAACCGTTTCTTTAAGCCCATAATCTCGATTGATTCTGCTCGCCAAGTTTTGTGATCTAGATCAGGGGTCTCCAAACTACGGCCCGCGGGCCGGATGCGGCCCGCGAAGTCCTCTCATCCGGCCCGCGGCGATCTTTTTGTCCAAGTAAAAATCGTTTGTTGGTGATAGCTGAGGAACGTTGCCCAAAAAAATCAAAGACATGTCTGGAAGAAACTGGCCCCCGACCAGAAATTTGATAGCTAATGTGGCCCTCGGACTGAAAAGTTTGGAGACCCCTGATCTAGATCTATGTTTTTATAACTCCCATCTAGCCCGCGCTTATATCGAGAAATATAAACCGGATCGCTTTATTCTAGCAGACGGTCTTGATGTTTATCCTCCCAGCAGGCTTGGGAAATGGGCTCCCCCGGGGTTAGGGCAGAAATAAGACTTAAACTAACGTTGGTAACCTAGATGAAAAAACTATGTAAGGCGGCAAGCCATTAACGAAATAAAGTTATGATACATTACATAGGCGGCAGCTTGGTTTTATTGCCAAAATGGCGGGCGGTGTTTACACTCACAGACTGGGGATTCCCCGGGGGACGGGATCTCGCTGCATGAATGATTACAGCCCTGAAAGCGCGTGCCAAGCGTTCTAAACTAAGGACTAAATAACATGTCCATAGCAGTTGGAGCAGTTTTAAATAAACATGACCTATGGCTGACGTCTAGTTAACTAAACAGGGTTATAATTATAAAACGGTGTGCAAGTGTTAGAATTACGTGGTGATGGACGGTTATCATTTTGTGCAGTTCATCAATTAGTAAACTAAAGCAACAATTAACTTTATCAGTTCGATGCTTTGACAGACTGACATAGGGTAACTGAGTGGGGGCCCCTTTTCCCCAGTAGATGTCGCGATAGGTTTATTTATTTTGAAATGCAATTATTGTTTCTGGGTTAAATAATCATTTGGCGTGGAATAATTGCTCAGCGGCCCCTGAACCTTCCGGTTTCTAATGGGATGAGAGAAGCCGAATCTAAGCCTGGGGGGGCTTCTTCAGGAAAACAACAGGAAAATAAAAATAGAATGGGAAAAACGGGTCATCTGGTGCTTAAAAAACGACAAAGCCTAGAACATTCTATCATTATTTGATCCGAAGGACGAGGACATATTTTATAACGTAAAAATAAAATTTGTTCTTTTTACCCAGCCCAATGTAAAAGTAGGTGAAGTTCCCTTTTCAAATATGACGGCCCATGGGGCAATTGAAGTAGATAGGGATAGTGTAACCAACACTATTCCCAGCCGCCTTTACTTTCCCTAACGTGAGTTTGGTACCCATCAGAGCTGGGTGAACTCAAGGACGTTCTACTGTCTTGTACCCGGATTTGAATTCGAGACTTTCGGGTTAGAAGTCTAGAGCCCTACCGCTAGGCCACGTTGTATAACATATTCTCAGGAGACCCTCGTCTTTTACAAATTCTGTATTAACCACCCATCCTGCCCCTACACACACCACACCGCTACTTGATTCTACGAAAACTACAGCTTTTTTTTTTAAACTAAAAATTATGGAAATCAATTCAATATGGAGAAAACCGCTTTTTGTATATTCATTTAAAAAACTTTTTTTGTTGAGATAGCAGAGTAAACCTCTCAATATATTTATTCGACAATTTTTACATAGCAGAATTTTTTTTTAATCAAGTAAATCAAAGGCAGTGTTGCTTAGAATTTGCTCTGTATCCCTCTGTACATATACACGCATCTCATGATGGCACTATGTGAAGTATGATATACATGTACACTTATCTCATTATATATATATATATATATATATATATATATATACACAATCCATACCCACATACACCACATTTAAAAATATTAGACTGGCGGCTAATGGTACACGATATTGACTGCGTGCTTGTAATTCGAGCCGGCTTAAAAAAAACGTTGTTGATGAAATTAAGTGAACTTGATCAGAATTTTCCGCCATGTAACACCGCCATGCCAGATGTAACAGCTTTGATTATTTTCTCTCGGTCAGACGAAATTATGCTTTGTTTGTGTGCAACACGTTTTATCTTTTACATAATAGTAATTTTAAATAAGAAAGATTTGTTTTATTTACATTGAATGTTTTCATGGGATCAGAAGCGTTGCGAGGGGGGGGGGTACATATATGTCCTAGGGGGCGCCAAAATGGGTTGCAAAAAAACATTAAAAGCTAATTTTAGCTGCAGTTTTGCATTATAAATATAAAAAATATATGGGGGGGGGGGGATAAATTGAAAGTTTGTCCCCAGGCGCCGGGAAGGGTCGCTACGCCTCTGCATGGGATCTATACTAGAAATAAACAAAAATGCATTCTATACGAGGGGGGGGGCAGAGATATACAGTAGCGTAGCGAGGGGGGGGGGGCGGGGGGGGACATATGTCCCCGGGCGCCGACCTTAGGGGCGCCAAAATGGGTTGGAAAAATAAAAATAAATTGAAAGGATTAGGGGGGTGCAAATCGAAAGTTGTAGGGGGGGGGTGCAAATCGAAAAGTTTGTCCCCGGGCCCCGGGAAGGGTCGCTACGCCTCTGGAGATATAATTCTAAAAAACTTTACGAATTACATTTTTTGTTATGTCGAATAGGCCTACCTGCTTTAGCTTTACATATTTACTTATAGATGTTTTTTTTTAAATTGTTAACAGAATCAGATTTTTGGGCCGGGCTACTAGTGCGCCCCTTAACGCTAGAGAGTTTAGACTATCAAGCACCCCCCTCCTCCCCTTCCCTCCAATCCTACAGGAGAGATAACCTAGTCTAAAAAAAAATAAACCGCCGTACAATTCTTCCTGTAATTGATTGATTGAATGTTCGCCAACGTGCGATCCCCGCCATATTGGACCTAATCAGCCGTCTCTCGCTTGCCGCAGTTTAAAATTGGTCTACTACACTAATCATCCCCAAACTTAGTGCATCAGTTCCCTCGTGACAAACTACTTGAGAATGTAAATTTTGGATCAATCCCTACCCACCTCTGTTTGACTGCTGTAAAGGGTAAACACCTTTCATCAAAGGTTAATATATTTAAGCTCAGAGATCAACTCATGAATGTATAAGTGCAAGTCTGTACTAAACAACTAACGCAGGGTTATAATGTGTTGTTTTTTAATGTGGTTGTCTATACAGGACGTCCGATAGCTAGGCCAAAGTTTAGTGACGATGTCTTACGTAGGATGGGTCAGCTTAATATTTACACGTATGCGTAGAGGAAGCGTCGTCTATTATATGTGATGATATTATGTGGGGAAAGGAGCTGTCAGCTTTACGTCTAGGCGGCGTAGAGGGTTTGAAGGCCTATATATATTTGTGATGGTATTATGTGGGAGAAGTATGCAGTGTTTCTTCCAGACTTTTTTCTCCTGGGGGGGGGGGGGGCACTTGAAATTTTCGGGGGGGGGGGGGGGGCGGACACTGTTAAAAGTATATATTTTCTATATAAATTATATAGATTTATTTTGTTTGGGGGGGGGGGGGCGAAGAGATGCCTGAAAGAAACTCTGGAAGTATGGGTCAGTCTGACACATAAGGGGTTCATTTAATTATGACAATGTGTCACGAGGGGGGGTGGGGGGCGATAGAGGTAAATCTGGACAAGGTGTCTAACGATGGAGGAGTGTGGGTAAAAGCTGACTAAAGCATCGTGACAGGATAGTTAGCCTTCAGTCTACAGTTGGTGCTAGGTATGGTGTAGGTTTGTTAAAAAAATGTACTGAACTTAGAGCCAAACAAAAGTATTTGATGCATTGACAGGCTCTATTGCACCACATCATTATGTTTATGTTGAGTTTTTGGTTTGAAAAGCAGAAAGGTCACAAAAATGGCCAGGTGTCCCAATCAGGAAAAAAACACAACCATAATTAACAGAATTTGTAAATTAAAATTGAATAATTGCAGAATAATTGGTTGGCAACAGCAAAAGCTATGAAGGAGGAGGGGTAGGAGGGTGGTGTAGAAAGCATCATTAAAAAGCTAACAATATGTCAATGGATCATAAAAATAACACAATTTTCTAAGCATCTTTTCATGGGACAAGGGCCTATACATTTGTAAAGCTTTTCATAGTCTATATTTTTTATCAAATACTTTTTTTTGTGAGACTTTTAAACCTATTGACTTTTTCAATGCATTAAAACAAAGTAATAGATAAGCCAATGGTCCTGGCTCATACTGGTTGATGTTAAATCCGCAACCACAAAAAAATATGAGTGAAACATTTTTTTTTCAGTTTGCTGACAGCAAGATAGAATTCTACTTTGTGGACAACTATGGCCAGCTAGTTCCTGTCAAAGATTTAATTACAGCTGACTTGTTATCTAGACTTAGCAGTCATGTACCTGACCTGGGACTTAGGCAAGTTTCAGGAGAGGAGCCGGTAAGGATGTCAGACTACTTTAGCTTAGTATTGGGATTTATACAGCAGTAATAATGTGAACAAAATACTTTTTAATGTTGAATGTAGATTTGTTTCCTTAAATTCTGTTTATTTGCTTCTCAGATAAATGTGAAATATTTGTGTTTGATGTAGTTTGTTTTAACTTTTTAATATATTTTTTGTGCAGATAAATTTAATTTTTTATGTTGATTGTAAATTTGTTTCCCTAAATTCTGTTTACTTGTTTCACATAAATATTTGTCTTTGTTGTAGAATCTAGTTTGTTTTAACTTTTTAACATTTTTTTTCTGCAGATAAATTTAGCTCTTACTGTGCACTCTGAGCCATTTTGGACCAAGCCATATTTTCCTTATGCTGTGGCAGGTGCATCAGTGACTGTAGTGCTAACTATAGCTCTGCTGGTAACACAAATTTTGTACTGCTACAAGATGTAGTTCATTAAATATTTTACACTGCTAAATTTTGACTAAGTTCATAAAAAAAAATTATGCTGCTACAAAATTTCTAAGGGGACGGAGTGGTCTAGCGGTAGAGATTAGACTGCTAACCCGTAAGTGTCGAGTTTGAATCCGGGTTCAAGTCAGTAGACCGTCCCTGAGTCCACCCAACTCTGATGGGTACCTAAGTCACATTAGGAAAAGTAAAGGCAGCTGAGCATAGTGCTGACCACACTATCTCTTCATTTGCCTAGGTCACAGAAACAAGTGAACTCTACTTCACTTGCCCTATAGACTGTCAGGTTTGAAAAGGGAACTTTACTTACATAATTTCTAAAACTTTGTTTTCTAACTAATAATAGAGTCAAGAATTTTCTATTAACACAGTGTAATAATATGAGACAGAACAAGAAAGAAATAATATATGCTTTAATTTTAACAAAGAAAAGCCAAACTTAAAAAAATTTGATTTTTTTATGTTTGGGGGAAGGTGAGTCAGGGGTAGAAAAGGTAAGTTTTGAACATCAGTTAGTGAGTTCATTGTCAGAGAGTTTACAATGTGTTATAACATCCATTAAACATGCATATCCATTGACCACTGATACAAGTTACTACTATTCCTTCCAGAAATTACATTTTTACTAACTAGTATTATTTAGAGAGAGATAGAATGTTGAAATGGCATACCCTTAATTGACTTCCTGTCAACATTGCCATAATACCTCCCCATAACTAAGGCCTATGTCAATGGTGTCACTAGGTGGGGTGTCACCCCACTCTCTGACACCACACCCTTTGCCATCACCCAAAGCTGAAATCTTTTTCCAGTGTGAAATTTCTAAACTTCTCAACTCTACTTCACCCACAGATCTACTGCTGCTGCTGCCGCAATGGGAAAGACAAAGAAATTCTGGACGAGGAGGTATGTGTGGGGCACGCCATCTACTACCCCTCCCTGAAGCCCGAGTTGGCCGAGCCCACACCTGTCCAGCCTGAGTCCCCCATCCCCATCTACACAGCCTCAGGTATCACAACACCTGTGCCAGCCCAGCCTGTCAGGATCAAAACCAAAGGTCTGCTGGAAAGGTGAGAGCCCTCTGTAGTACAAAGACATTCACGCGATCAAATGTCACTCACAAAACATCAGCATCAGCAACTAACTGTTACATGGGTTACTATACAATGGCTTGGGTAGGGGGTAGAGCTGATGGTAGAGTATGTAGGACATCCTTGAGTCCACCTAGCTCTGATGGGAACCTGACTCAAGCTAGGGAAACTAAAGCGGCTGGGTATAGTGCTAACAACACTATTCTCTTGTAGGCTGAGGTTAATTAAACAGATGTACTCTACTTCATCTGCCCCATGTGTCTTGGTCACCATGGGAAAAGATGATGAAGATAACATATATGTATATACATATGGAAATATACATATTATATACATATAGAAATATACATACATACATATTATACACACACATCCAAAGATACACACTGAGAGTAGATAAATGATTAAATAAGTACTTCTAGAGATAGTAGGTAAGGTATTGGTCTTTAATTAAGCTTGTTTTATTTGTATTAAATACATCAACTTAAAATAAACTGTTTGACTCAGACGAGGCTCAAATGCAAGTCTTACCTTGGACCTTAACCCAGCCAGTGACCTGGGAAGATGGGAAGGCACTCCTCCTAAAGAAAGGTAAAAAAAATTTCTCTGTTAATTAAGTTATTTTATTAAATAATTATTTCAAATTAATTGAATAAATTGTTGATACAATATTTTTTTTATTCATCAGCACTGCCCTTGAGTATTTGATGTCTGCTGGCAACCGATTAAGCAGACGGGATCTTCGTAATGCTGTAAAACACACAAAGATTTTGTATGAAGAATTCTGGGTAAGTTTCTTTTACTTTTGTAACAAAAGATGGTTGGTTGAGGATAGAACTTTAAATTTATTTTCCCTTTCCCAACCAACCCTACAACCACTATTGGTTGTACACTATTTTTGTAAGCTGCATGTGTACTGTAAAGGGGGCATCTAATGTGGGGTGTACTTGCAATTGTACACATAAAAGCTTTAACAGAAATGTAGGCCTTTAATATAAAAATTAAGAGATATAAGTTAATATTATTAAATGGTAATATTAAAAAGTAAATATAATACTGTAGTACATTGTTTTTAAAGTTTTAAGCCAATAAACTGCTGAAAAATAAAATATTTCTACACTAAAATTACTTTGCTGTCAGTTACTGCCCATTAACTAACGTGAAAAACCAAGGGAGGTAACCCATAATTATGTTCCCAAATGTTCTTAAAATGTGGGGAAATTCAGAAATAACAAAATAGTAACTGGTATCATTTACTTTTTAAATTCTTAATATTTTATTATAAAACCTGGTATAACCCTATGAGTTATATGTCATAGATTTCAGAATAATTATTTTAAATAGAAAACTGTTAGCTTTTTAATACAGAAACTTAATTTGTATTTTAGTAAAAGTTAACGTTAAAAATACTCAGTCTACTCTCAGTTAATAGCCATCCATTCTGTGGTTTACTATATTAAATATTATTGTAGAAAGTAGCCATGACATCACAAAAGGTATTGTTTCTATGGTGGGTCAGATAATGAACTATGGTCATTGTTCCTACTTCTAGTGGATTATAATAAGACATTGACTAGATTAGGGAGGATAGTCATTGCTCTAGCAGATTTATATGAGTAATTTACTACATACATTACTCATAGATCTAGCAGATTTAAACAAATCATTGACTACATACATTGTTCATAGGAGATTTAAATAAGTCATTTAAATACTTTATATTTTTATCCTGCAGGCTTTCATTTTTTTTTTAAGTAAATAACTGCCAGATTTTCTGTGATTCTAAAAGATCAAAATTATTAGATACTTTGCATTGCAGAGTAATGCTCTAGATTTCCCTGAATGTTTACATTTTGTTACAAAAATACCATCCTCAATGGACAGTTAATAAAAAAATTAAATAAAAACCCAAACCTGACTACAGTCTATCAGTTGGGTGAATATGCATAAAACTAGATGAGGCGTTCAGATTTATGTTTTAAATATATACACCCACATTGAGCCGTACATAGGCTACTAGATATAGACAGTAAGTTTAAAATATTTCAGGAAATCCCAATGAATCACAAATTGAGCCATATGTGAGCGGGTGAATGGATTATTTATTTTGTATTATTTTATTTGGTGCGAATCTGCGAGTGGATGATCCAATGGGGAGCGGCCACGGGGTTCCCCTTTCCGCCCGAAGCGGTCAGTATATAAATTGACCGTTCGGATAATTTTCTTTTTTTTGACCCGAGGCAAGCTATAGATAGGGTCGGTTTCTGCGTGGGCGCGTTGCGCACCTCACGCGTGAAGTGAGGTTGCTTGGGCAACTTGGCTGGGTGTTTTGTTTGGTGTAAAAAGTTTGTTTGATATATATTGTTGTACTGTTTTCTACGTAATGTCTTTTGTGTGTGCTGAAGCGATGAGGTGAGGGCGAAGGCGTTCCTCTTTCCATCAAGTATAAATCTGTTTTGTTTTGTTTAGTCGTGTTTTGTCCCGTTGAGTTTTTAGTCGTGTTTTGTGTATTCTGTAGTTTATCATCTTTCTTATTTTGATTGATTCCATAAAATAAATTTTATTAATTTGTTAAAGTTTTTTTTGTTTTTTTAATTTAGACTAAGGTTAAGGTATTAACCAGTCTGGGTTTAGCCGGGCTTGCACTGACCGGACGGTAATAGATAAGCCTAGGGAAGGGTAGATAGATTTTAAGGTATCCCCCCCCCTAGCAGGGCTTACACATACATAGGCTACTAGATATAGACAGTAAGTTTAAACTATTTCAGGAAATCCCAATGAATCACACAGAGAAAGTATCTGTGGCTGGTTCTGGCATGAAAAACAGATACAAAACAATTATTCCAAGTAAGTCCATTGGTGGTTATTTTTTTACTCTCTAACAACATACATCTCTTTAATTATTATTCCACTCTAAATGATCAAAATTGTATTTACTGCTTCATATTTATATTTATACTGACTTGTTTGCTCATGTATAAATGTATTGTATGACTCCTGTGTTTGAAGGGGTTATTCTAGGCAGAAATTTATTTAGACATTTTTTTTTAAAACATAGTTAGCTTGGTATTGTTAATTAGTGGTTCGTTCGCTGTCTAAAATTATTTTGATGATGTAAAAAAAAATGAGTTCAGAATGAGTGAGTATAATATACAAAAACGTGTGTAGGATTCAGATCTAGATTTTTTTCCATAATAATTAGCTTAAAAAATGTGTGTATTCTCTTGTGTAACAGATGAACACAGCAGAGTTATCCTCCCTGATATAGACTGTGATCCATTAAACTCTTACATAAATGCTAACTACATAAAAGTAAGTTACACAATTTTTATTCCAATATTAAGTAACACAATTTTTCTTCAAATAAGTTTACACATATTTGTATAAACGTGAGCTCTGTGTTCTCAATCTATCTGTTTTTGTTTCTATGAATTTGTGTAAAACCATGTTGTGCCTTTTCAGGGCTATGAAGGCGAGTCTAGGGCCTACATAGCAACTCAAGGACCAATGGCTCACACTGTTGTAGACTTCTGGAGAATGATTTGGTTTGAAAAGTGTCCAATCATAGTCATGATTACAAAGTTGAAAGAAAAAAGCAAGGTGGGACTTAAGATTTCAGTAATTAAATATGGTAGAGTGGAATAGTGAACAAAAACAGAAGGACTTAAGGTCCAATATGTGTGATAGTATCTCATCTCTTGTTTTGTAACTATCCATTCCACGTGGGAATCTGTCATAAATATTGGACACACCCCTCCCATCTCCCCTACAAATGCTGGACCACTTTACCTGCTATATTGAGAAATGTTTTTTATATTTGACTTTTCATAATTAGAACTAATTAATATTTATTAACATTATGTTTTAAATTGAAACATGATAAAATTATTTTTTTAAAAATTCAAATGAATTTAATATTATAAATGTATGGCTCGATAAAATCTTTCATCTATTTCAGCCAAAATGTGAAAACTATTTACCAGAGAGGTGGGGGGTGTATGGCGATGTGGAGGTTGTTATAGAGAAAATTATCTGTAAAAAAGGTTTCATTGTCAGACATATAACACTGAGAGTAAGTTTTATGTAACTGTGCCGTGACTATGTGATATTTGCAATAAGGCTAAACATATGTTGTATGAGACCATGTGCTAACTTTGTGTCAGTGACCTTATGTGATTATGTGACCTAGTGCTACCTTAATTTCAGTGACCTAATCATGTGATGTATGTGACCTAATCATGTGATGTATGTGACCTAATCATGTGATGTATGTGACCTAATCATGTGATGTATGTGACCTAATCATGTGATGTATGTGACCTAATCATGTGATGTATGTGACCTAATCATGTGATGTATGTGACCTAATCATGTGATGTATGTGACCTAATCATGTGATGTATGTGACCTAATCATGTGATGTATGTGACCTAATCATGTGATGTATGTGACCTAATCATGTGATGTATGTGACATAATCATGTGATGTATGTGACCTAATTATGTGATGTATGTGACCTAATCATGTGATGTATGTGACCTAATCATGTGATGTATGTGACCTAATCATGTGATGTATGTGACCTAATCATGTGATGTATGTGACCTAATCATGTGATGTATGTGACCTTGTGTTAGCTTTGTTTCAGTGATCTAATCATTTCTTAGTACACAAACTGTGTTATAGTGACCTAACCATATTCTTCCATATCTTAAATATGTCATTTGTGTTTGAGTGTTCTATAGTAAAACCATTATAACTTCTCTGTGACAGTCTCTTGTTATTTTCTCTGTCCCCCCCCCCCCCCCCACCCCCCACCCCCCTCAGTGTAACGGTGAGAGCCAGACTGTCCTACACTACTGGTACTCTTGTTATTTTCTCTGTGTTTCCCCCACAGTGTAACGGTGAGAGCCAGACTGTCCTACACTACTGGTACTCTTGTTATTTTCTCTGTCTCCCCACGTCAGTGTAACGGTGAGAGCCAGACTGTCCTACACTACTGGTACTCTTGTTATTTTCTCTGTCCCCCCCCCCCCCCCCACCCCCCACCCCCCTCAGTGTAACGGTGAGAGCCAGACTGTCCTACACTACTGGTACTCTTGTTATTTTCTCTGTCTCCTCCCCCCCCCCCCTCAGTGTAACAGTGAGAGCCAGACTGTCCTACACTACTGGTACTCTTGTTATTTTCTCTGTCCCCCCTCCCACCCCTCAGTGTAACGGTGAGAGCCAGACTGTCCTACACTACTGGTACTCTTGTTATTTTCTCTGTCCCCCCTCCCACCCCTCAGTGTAACGGTGAGAGCCAGACTGTCCTACACTACTGGTACTCTTGTTATTTTCTCTGTCCCCCCCCCCCCCTCAGTGTAACAGTGAGAGCCAGACTGTCCTACACTACTGGTACTCTTGTTATTTTCTCTGTCTCCTCCCCCCCCCCCCCTCAGTGTAACGGTGAGAGCCAGACTGTCCTACACTACTGGTACTCTTGTTATTTTCTCTGTCCCCCCCCCCCTCAGTGTAACGGTGAGAGCCAGACTGTCCTACACTACTGGTACTCTTGTTATTTTCTCTGTCCCCCCT